ATAGCTACTATACTGTCAATAGAGAATAATTTGTAACGATCAAAAATGTTGTTTAACCCATCTTATTTCTCTATTCTTTGTCTATAAATTTAAAAACAATGTCGCAACGACGATAGTGCTACATCAAGCTGCTGTCTCGGAACTCAGATGGTAATCTCTCCGGAAACTAAATGAAATCTGGCTTAAAAGTTCGGCATGATTTCTTCTATAGGACCTATGAACATCATGCACAAACTAGTATATTGATAGGGTGACCCACCATAAATAAATATCTCCATATATCTCGACAATTTCGCCACAATATTTATATATATGCCAAGCCTCAAATCAGTTTCACACAATTATAGTCACTAAATAAACGATCATGTTGTACTTAATAAGCTATGACCATTAATCATCTATAAATAATAGACTGAAAACTGGTTCCATGTGTCGTCCATAACATCCAGACACTTTTGAGTAAAAGATAGGTTACGTGCCCTTGTTTTGAAATTAGTCTCGCTTAACCAGTCTATCGACCATTCTAGGGCTGATTGGCAGGTCGGGATAATCAAGACTACTTTTTTACGAAACATAACAGAAAGCTAGAACAAGAAATTGAATTTAGAAATGAGCACGTTAGCTAGCTCAACAATTGTTTTAAGAAGCTTGTAAAAGTAAAATGAAACTACTGCTAGTATCATGTTCCTGTCTAACCCGAGTGTTTCTGAGATATTATTTGTACTAAACCAAAAGATGCCGCTCTTAACGGTACAGTTAATGATAAAGCGATTTAAAAAATGAAACGAACGTAATTTCTAAATCTGCTGTAATAACCAAGAAGCTTAATTTCACTGCTATTCAAAATCGTCAACAATAATTTTTTTACGGCTGTAATAGTTGATAGATTTGTAGAGAATTGCACGTGCCATGGCTATTTATAGTATCATACTGTCAGAAAGTTGGCCTCGACACGGCGAATGTGCACGCTTCAGTGGTAGTCTCGAACTATCAGCGGTGGACTGTATTTCTGTAGGTGCGTGGGCCACCCTAAATTGATGACCCTGAACCTGTGCAATTACTGATATGATTGGCCCCTTAAACCAAATGATGCAATAGGTAAATTTCCAATCACATGTAATCTGTTGACACATAGAACCAGCTATTTTTTGGTTCTATATCTCTTTTTATGTGTCAAGCTGTCACTTGTGTTTTTAGTGCATATTTAGTACAATTGGCCAAATACATTAATTAATGAAATATAATACCACCATTAATTATAAGAGCAATATTGCTACAAAACACCGCCATCTTAACGTGCTCGGGAATCTAATTTATGGCTGGTTTTAATCCGATTTGAATCCAAGCCGGTAGACTATCTACCGCTCATATTTCGATTTTGTTTCCAAAATTCAAATTTGCCGGATATTACGAGAATTCGTCATGTAAACTGAAATAACAAATCAATGATTGTTTTACTGTAAAAGAATTTAAAGGGCGTAGATCTATTCTTCAGAAGCTTAAAATAGATGAAATGGCTCTAAAAGCACATATTATGTAATATGAATGTATGTAAATTGATTTATATTCTATTTTTAAGACGGTTATTGTATTTTTTAATCAATGGTGTCTGGTGAAATACGTCAAAATCCCAGATTGAACGGCAGTCATTTACGCCTGCTTCGTGCATTCTATGCGTTTTTTCTTTCGCCCACATTTCAGTGTGGGAGTATTGTGGCGCCACCTGTCTACCGGTCCGTCAGGCATTGAGGCTGTAGTTTTCGACGGATTCTTTTCAAATTTTGTATGAAGCATTGTGTTCCTGTGGGGACGAACACTACGATATTCAACGCTCTGCGCCTTACTGTTCCAGAGTTATTCTCCCTTTGCTGAAAACATTGTGAACGCTATAGAGGCTGTAATTTTCGACGGTTTCTGTTCAAATTCGGTGTTAAGCATTGTGGTCATGAGAGGACAAACCCTATTGATATTCAGCGATCTACTACTTTTCGTTCCGAACTTATCCCCATTTGCTGAAAACCTTGTGACCACGATAGAGGCTGTATTTGTTAACGGATTCCTTTCAAATTTGATGGGAAGCATTGTGGTTATAAGAGGATGAGCCATCTTGACATTAAATTGTCGGCGACTTTCCTTTCTGGGCCTGTTGTTCGTTAGTTTAACGATCCGTTAAACCCGGTTTTCGATTTTGAAGTGATTTGGTCCTGTAATGCAAGATTTGTTTCGACATTCCAAAGTAAACGTACGGTGCTTAGACATTCTAAAGATAAATTTCAAATGTTCCTAATATTAATTAGAACAGGTTTCTCTATAGTTTTTGTTGTTGTTTTTTTTTTAAATATATTTTACGTTGATGTGTATTGCTTTAAACCTTCCTAGTGCAAAAACGGAAATTTTGACCTTTTGACCTCCAGGATCACAATGAAAAGTTTATATTTCTATTGAGCGAGTGATTAGTTTTGATCGGTTTTCGGTTGATTTAAATTGACCAATAACTCATGTTTTCAATATAGAAGACTGGGAATGATATTTAGTTAAAGGCTTAGTTCCTTTAGATCATCGCTAGCCTGGATGTCGGGTGTTCGATCCCTGCATTGGCCGAGAAAGTTCATCCCGATTTTCCGGCGTGGTTTCCCTTTGTCAGTGATGCAGGACGGAGGGACTGACAAGGACAGCTGTCTAGTCGTTCGGATGGGACGAAAAACCGAGGTCCCGTGTACACTTTGGCGTGCACGTAAAAGATCCCTTGGCAGTTGGAATTCGATATAAGAGTAGCCGTAGCGCCGCTGCCCGGGCAAAATTCTCCTCATAGCACACTGTATGGCGTATGCCCGTCTTCATTAGCCCAGGTTAGGAGCAGAACAGTAGGACGTTAAACCCCATTTCATTTCATTTCATTTCCTTTAGATCAACATTGATGTGTTGTCTTACCATGAAAAGATTGGCTTCTGGTATCCAATATTTAAGCCACACTGAAAATTTTGAACTTGGCACACGAATTGCCTGCCAGAATGCTTTTGGGCGCCAGTAGTGAGCGACTCGGTGAACGTGGCTTTAAATCTATCCCATAGGGGAAGACTACCAGAGAAGACGGCAATAACCAGACGTCGGATATTGCCATTGGATATGCCCTCTTCAAGTATATTGCCGAACATATCTGATTAAAAATTACAGTACAAACAGAAACGATTGAATATAAATAAGTTTATATCCATTCATATTACATTATTATATCAGCTGTGATCCATTTGTGTCCATTTCCAGGTGTCACAGGATATAGATTGAGCTCCTTTAACTTAGCCTCGTGGTTCTTATTGTAGGCCAATTTATAACTAATAGATGAAATCAACCCAGTGACACACTTCTCTAATTACCATGCCCAGGCGGAAAATAAACATTCGGCTTATTTATTTTTCTTTTTAATAATAAAGGCTGGATAATCGTCTTTACTGTCCACAAATAGGTTCGTTCCTTTGCCAAGCTTTGGCTCATTTTGTCTAGGAATAAAGCATTTATCTTTAGGCAGTTTGCACCCCATCCTTCCCTGCGTAATACGCCTATGTACATTCACCTAATCCTATATAAAACAAGAACATGTAAATCATTATGAATTTCAGACGAGACAGGAAATAAAACAATCTAAAGAAACGGTTTGGAAAAACTGAATAAATCAAAATAAATTGATCTTTTTCAGTACGATTTTCTTTTATGCGTATAATATAATCACGGATGTGGGCCGCCAGATTGTATTGCGACGTTGTCAATTATCAGTCTATAACAGTCCAAGTCTGTCGATTATCAATTGAATTTAAAGTAGTGCGAGATGACGTCTGCCGCCTAATCGTGATAATTATACAATACAAGTAAAGGCCCACGTGCTCAGCGGATAATCGTTTCATTGAAAAACATGTCTAGTTGATGAAAGTTGACATTTTATCTATCTAACTAGTCAATAACGTTCAATAAACGACACTGCGACACATTTAAAAGAACCAATTACTCTTTTGTGAAACATGTATGTTATAAATACAAAACACTGCGACACATTTTGATTATCTAATATTTTACATAACCTTAATTACACGACACTGCAACACATTTAATTATCTAATTAGTTCATGACATAAAATACAGGTCACCGCGACACAATTTAGTTACTTATATTTTACATAACCTAAACTACACACCACTGCGACACAATTGAAAGATCCAAGCATCTACAATCAGCGGTGATTACATAATAAATAATAATGAGGTTTTATATAGCTTCTTCCCCATGTTTTCAAATGCTCAAAAGTCAAAACGACTTAACAAACGCATTTCTACATCCCGAAATAAAATAGTCGCGTGGATGAGTCAACCAATGCCGTGTGGGCGGCTCCACCAACGAGTGTGGAAGACATAACCAGATTGTCCGTGTGGACGACTTTGCTTTGTTGACGATTTGATTGGCATTTCTAGTCATTAGGTTAGAACGAAAAACAGAAGTCCACCGGTATATCTGTGCACGTAAGTTGGAATATAATGAAGAGTGTGCTAAAACGGTGTGGTACTAGGCAAAAATCATTTCATATTTTACTACACGTCTGAGCCGCGGTACCTCAGTGAGTAACACGATGGTTCGCTAACCTGGGAGTCCCATGTCCGATCGAGAAAGTTCACCGAGATAAGGTAAACGAATGAGCTTCGATTTTGCGTCCCATTCGCGTGACTGGGGGCATTTTCAATGCCAGACCTTTTGTGCATCATTATGTTCTGTGATAAAATCTTCAGTGGTCTTTATCCTCAATAGGGACTCAAAAGTAGAGTTATTTCCCTTTAGCTGTAAATACCGATTCGTGTGCGCCGAAAAACTTGCACTTTCCCCTTATGCACCATATCAATGGAGTGTTTAAGTTGAATAATTAATGGATTTTAGTGATCTAAGAGAAAAGTTCTAGCGAAACGTATGATAAATTTAGTGATAAACTAGAAATTAATTTTAAAATAACTTCTCCCCCATTCCCACAAATCAAAGCGGAAGTTAAAGCTCAACACATGTGCGCATGTTTTAATCTCTTATTACTTTCACGCTGTTTATGATAAAAATCAAGAATAAAACGAGGAAAGGGCTTTATGGTTGAATCAAAAATTGCAGGATTGAAACTGAGCTGAAGGAAAATGGGGAAACCAAAGAAGGGACAAAAGGGTGTTGGGAATGACGATTTGTAAGTCACCATTATGGCTGTCTGTTCGGTTTTTTTCCTGAACATATTTCCGTTTTTAACGTAAACACGAAAAATCCCCACGACCAGAACTCAATTTCTCAACATTAACAGCCGTTTTAATCACATTTTATAAATACGTTTCCAAAAACCCTGCACTCAACACCAGTGATTTGTTGGAAGTCGTCTGGACTGTGACATAAATCTATGACAGAATGACTGGATGTTTTTTTATTATTATTATTATTTAAAAATAGATTGGCAGTTATCAAATCAACGTCTATTTTTAGTTGTGTAAATATTGCTATAGTTGGTGCAATAATAATAACCTTGATTAAATTCAAACCTACCGCTGTGTCATTCTTGAATTATATCTTGTACTCAATGGACGTACGTTCTTCAATTTAGCTTATTATTATTGAATTATTGAAGTTTTAAACAGCTGTGTGTTTATTTGTCTCTTCTATTGGAAGTAATTGTAAGTAATTTCGAGGTTTTGAAATCAAAATGTTAAAATACTGCAGAAAATGAAAAGCAACAAAAGTAGTATTAACAGAATTTGTTCACCATTTTTGTTTCAACAAAATAGACCAGATGTTTACAACAAGTGTAATAAATAATATGGCTTCAGCTGGTGGGTACGGTTGATGGATTCTGAAGTCTAGCCTAAAATTAAAAAATCATTTTCAGATCTATTTTCAAATTAATATTGTAGTGATGATGATGATATTGAAGTCGATCCATTGGCAAATATGGCAGAACACAAAGAATCAGGTCCAGCTAAAACGAAAGCCTCAAAACGAGATAAACGAAAGAAGAAAGGCGACGATTGGTATGTATCACAATAATGCACAAACTCACTACAAGTGACTTTGTGGCGGTTACTGTCCAGGGGAGGGGGGGGGGGGTGGCTGCCAGGTGGTCATATGGTATGTATCACAGTATACAAGTGAGGGGGTGGGGGGATGGCCAAATGGTTAGTGAATGCGCATTGTATCATAAGGTCTGTCATTGAGTCAACTGGCGTGGTTTTGATTCCCCAGTTGCACGTGGCATGGAGTCTGTCCAACTTTGGGGGTTTTCTCCAGGCCTCCCTTTTCCTCCCATTGCTAAAGACTCCTACGCGCAAGCAAATTATTGAAATAAAATTGAACCATATGTCAGTCCCAAAATGACCTAGTTTGTGTCGAGTGGAGGTTAAACCCTCTCTCTCTCTCTCTCTCTCTCTCTCTCTGTATTGTTTATATTGTACAAGATGTTAAATATTTTACAGGGAAGACGATGTAGCTGCTGATATTGCTGCCTTGTCTTTAGATAAAGATGATAATGAAGACGATGAATTCACAAAAAAATCTCATCCCAAAACAAAGGTACACAGATATTAACACTTGTCTAAAAAATCATACCTAGACATAAGGCACCTTTTAGAGACTTTGTCAAGTACAAATTATCATACAACTTATATAGAAACCACTGTAACCCGAGTATCATTTAATCTTGTGTATTTAGCAGTAATTTCTTTCACATTCATTTAATATCAAATCTCAGTTTAAAAATTCGTAAAAATTGCCAAGGAGTAGGGTCGCCTGTCCAACCTAGTGGGTTTTCTCTGCGTCCTCCGATTTCCTCGCACTGCTAAAGACCCCTACACACAAGTGAATTACTGAAATAAAAATAAATTAGAAATATAAATTATAAATGACCTGGTTTGTGTTGAGTGGATGTTAAACTCTCTCTCTCTCTCTCTCCAAAAATAAAATATGGATTTCTTTTCCACACCAACCGAGCTGTGTATCATTCTGGAGCCCCCCATATACGTGTATGATTCGAAGTTGTGACCGGCCGGAATCAACCATTCATGCCCGCAACTTGACAGTTGGAAACGACAGGGTTCTAGATGTAGTCGGGGATCACAGTGGCTATGTGGGTAAGATGCTAGCCTGGAGGTCGGGTGTTCGATCCCTGCATTGGCCGAGAAAGTTCATCAGATTTTCCGGCACGATTCCCCCTTGTCAGTGATGGAGGACGGAGGGCCTGACAAGGACAACTGTCTAGTCGTTCAAATGGAACAAAAAACCGAGGTCACGTGTACACATTGGAATTCGACATAAGAGTAGGCCGTAGTGCCGTTGTCCGGACAAAATTTCCCTCATAGCACACTGTATGGTGTATGCATGACTTCATTAGACAAGATCGGAGCAGAACAGTAGGATGTTAAACACCATTTCATTTCATTTCACAGTGACTGTATTTTTTTTATTTCATGTTTTATAGGAAAAGAAGAAAAAATTTAAGAAATTTGAGAGTGATGAAGAGGATGATGATGATGAGAAAGATGATGATATGAAAGTAGTTGGTAAAAAGAAGCCGGTATCGTTTGCATCATTAGGTCTGTTTGGTAATGATGATGATGATGATGATGAAGAATCAGAGGTATATTTATTTATTTGTCACAGTTGGACTGGGGTTGGGTAATCGGATAGTCTAGCGCTCATGCTGAAAGGGATGGGACAAACACTATACGATTAGTGATGGGACGAGCTGTATACGATTAGTGATGGGACAGACTGTATACGATTAGTGATGGGACAGGCTGTATATACCATTAGTAATGGGACCAATCTGGTTAGATAGTATGGAAGATTAGATAAAGAGCTGACAGTTCTCACTATAATAGTTAAAAACAAGATAATGTAAAGGGATTATGCTGATAATTTCAGTCAAATTGCTTCACTCTACGCCGAAAAATAACTTATTTTAAAATCTCTGTGGCCTCAATTGTCATTGTTACAGTTGTCACGATAATTAACAATGTCTCGGTTATCCAATGAAAATCAGACACATAAGATGGCATCGAGAGTTGATGAAGGTCTTTTCATGTTAATTAATGTTTAATTAATAGTTTATATAACATTTCAGGCCTAAAGAAAGACCTTCAATAGGAAGATTTAGCTCTTACATAAATAATGTATTTTTAAGTAGTTAAGGAAACATTATTAAGGAAACATTAAAGGGCTAATCCCGATATTTTTTAGAGAATAAAACTGCTTAATTTTGTGTTAAAATCCCTTAAAATCCACTAGCTGAGGGCCGAGCAAAAACTCAATATTTGTGATAAGTTTTCAAACCACTTAAACCCATCAGTCTTCGTCTGGAAATGGAGACCGGTGTCCCAAGCTGTATTATGCGGTGTCTGGATAAAACCAGACTTTTATTTTATAAAAATAACGTGTAGTTGAAATTTACCTTTCGTTATCAAGTACAGCACATGGGTCATTCACTACATAGACCTCTCAAGGAACGGAATCGATTATCAGGTCACCCAACGAAAAAACTGACCCGAAATCTTAAAAGGATAACGTGTCCAGATAAGCAATTTTGACATTCACGTCCAAACGACTCAATATTTTGAGCTGGAATTTTGAGAGAAGGTAAATACCCCATTCCTCTATATTTTGGCGCTTAAGTTTCATACGTACTCCGACTTTTATTTTTGAGACTCTCTTGATATCGGGATAGTCTCTTTAAGGAATCATTAAGTAGTTAAGGAAACATTGCAATTTTTCTCCAGTTGGAACAAAAGATTTTTTGATTTTAAAGTTAAATAAATATCTTTTAATTACAAATATCTGTTAACTACAAATATCTGTTGACTTACAAATATCTGTTAACTACAAATATCTGTTGACTACAAATAACTGTTGACTACAAATACCTGTTAACTACAAATAACTGTTGACTACAAATATCTGTTAACTACAAATATCTGTTGACTACAAATAACTGTTGACTACAAATACCTGTTAACTACAAATAACTGTTGACTACAAATATTTGTTAACTCTACAAATATCTGTTAACTACAAATATCTGTTAACTACAAATACCTGTTGACTACAAATATCTGTTGACTACAAATATCTGTTAACTCTACAAATATCTGTTAACTACAAATATCTGTTAACTACAAATACCTGTTAACTACAAATATTTGTTGACTACAAATAACTGTTGACTACAAATATTTGTTAACTCTACAAATATCTTGAATATATTTTGAATAGAAAGAAGAAGAGAAACCTGTGAAAATCATAGAAGAACCAACAGTTCAAGATGGTGCTAACAAAAAGAAACGTGACAAAAAGAAGAAAAAGGGTAAAGAGGATGATTTTGACATCGATGCTTTCGTTGCTGATCTTGATTCTAAAGACAACAAAGGATCGAAAAAGAAAAAGGGCAAAAAAGGAGAAAGCAAAGATAACGACGATGACGCTGGAGAATCGGAGGTGAAACCGGAAGTAGAGAAAGTCGAAGCTCAGGTTGTGTCTATAGACGATATTGATGAGTCGTATTATGAGAAAGATAAAAAGAAGAAGAAGAAAAAAGAAAAAAAGGAGAAAACGGAAGATGAAGAAGGAGAAGTAAAAGATGGGGAAGAAGAGGTAGAAGGTACAGTAAAAAGTGCTGCTCAGAAGAAAAAGGAAAAAAAGGAACGAGAGAAGGAAAAGAAAAAATTGGTATGTTTTCAAAAGTTTGTTTTTTAATGATTGAAGTTGTTTTACTTGTTTGTCCGACATCATGCTTTTCTACTGTGGCTAAAGCCCCCTACGCACAAGCAAAAAAATGAAATGGAAATTGAAACATATATTAGTCCCAGAATTACAGTTTGCGTCAAATGGGCGTTTTTTGGTGTGTTTTTTCTGGTTGTTTTTTGGGGGGGCGGGGGGCAATTGCAATATCACTCTCTGCTTATCTTTTCAAGATAGGTCTAATTCCATCGCCACCCCAACCGTGTGGGTTTCCTCCGAGTCTATTGGTTTCCTCCTGTTGCTAAAGATCATTACTGACACTAAACCCCATTATTCCAATTTCAAATTTTGGTTTTTTTTTTTAATTTAGGAGAAAGAAAAGGAAAAAAAGAAGAAGAAAGTGGAAAAGGAAACGGATGGAAAAGATGATGGAAAGACAGAAGAAACACAGGAAGGAGAAGTTAAGGAAGAAAAGATGGAAATAGATGAAAATAAGGAAGAATCAAAAGATGTTGAAAATAAGAAAGGTAATTATAATTATATTCTGTAAATAAGAAAGGTAATTATAATTATATTCTGTAAATAAGAAAGGTAATTATAATTATTTGCTATAAGTAAGGAAATTTATAGAAATTGTAATTATTTGCTGTAAATTAGGAATTAATGCGATAAATGACAGCCCAATATATAACTTATAAGTTTATTTTTATTTTGGTTACTGGGTGGATTGTAAACAATCCGATTTAAACACAGATCCTATTTCGTTTCATTTCTTATAGTTCAAAATTTCGTTTTACTTGTCTTTACTACACTAGGACCTGGAAGTGTTGTTATAAAACCCGCTTTCTGGTTGATGTGAGGGATTAGCCATTGAAACGGTCTGTTACTCCGACTTCTTGGCGTGCGATGCACAGAGCTGTGGGTAACCTACTAGAAACATCAATACTGATTGGTTAATCAAATGTCTGACATCATAGGATTTAAAAGCCGCTCGTATGACTCCTGATGCAACCTCCCACTACAACTTGTCAGTTCTTCATGTAGTAGAGGCCATCGAAAGTATAAAAATAGGAAACAAAATATAAATCTGTATTTTGATCAGATTGGATTGTAAATTTCAGACAATTTGTGACCTGTGACATCACATCCTGTGACCTGTGATATCACCACCCCTGTGACCTGTGACATCACATCCTGTGACCTTTGACAGCAAAATGAATCACAAGTCGTTGTTTACCTTATATGTATGAACAAGTAGGCATAAAGAACAAGGGGACACAATAAGCACATCTGGTCCAGGTTCACAAAACATTCTAAGTTGCTCGCATTTTTTTTTTTCAGCTAAAATATAGCCTTTATAAAACTTGTTTTAATGTATAAAATACATTAGCAAGAAAGTTTTGTGTTTCTGGATCAAAGATATTTCTCATAAACAGTGATTGAAAGTTGAGTAAAATTAAGTCTGAGGATGTTTTGTGAAACCCGGGTCTGAACCACGGTCAAGTTACTTAGATGTAAATAAGGTTAGGGCTCATGATTGTTGGCGAGATTGTAGGTTAGGGTTAGGGTAAGCATTGGGATTAGCACTATTTACATCTTGTGACCTTTGCCCAAACTTGAAGTTAACCTTTTCCATAACGAGTTTAGAAAGAGACTTGAATAATTTATGTTTCAATATTTAAAGGTGATGAGGAAGAAAAGATGGAAGACAAGATGGAAGAAAGTACAAAAAGTAAGAAAAAGAAGAAAAAAGATAAAGAAAAAGATGGTAAAGATGATAAAGAGAAAAAAGATGAAAAGAAAAAACCCAATAAACAGGTGAGGATTTATATAATGTCATAAAAGATTTGTTTACGCTAAGAAAAGATATATCTGTGTTAACGGTTACTTAGCCTCACAAAAATAGGGTCGGTTGTTCAAAGGAGCCACTGTGGCTAAGTGGGTAAGACGCTGGCTCGCTAGTTTGGAAGTCGCAGGTTCGTTAGGATTTTCTGGTGTGGCTTCCCCTTGTCAGTGGTGCAGGACGAAGGGCCTAACAATGACAGCTGTCTATTTGTTCAGATGGGACCCATAGGCATAGACATAAACGATCCCTTGGCAGTTGGAATTTGATATAAGAGTAGGCCTTATCGCAGCTGTCTGGGCAAAATTTCCCTCCTAGCACCCTGTGTGGTGGATGTCTAAGGGAGGAATGAGAGGGAAAAAGTTTAGGGTCATTGAATTTGGATAAAATAAAAATATGCTTTGTCGAGTAACCGTAAATACATGTATTTTGGACATAACTTTTAGGTTTCAATCTAAAAACTTTTAGGTTTCAATCTAAAAACTTTTAGGTTTCAATCTAAAAACTTTTAGGTTTCAGTCTGAAAACTTTAGTTTTTGCTGAATAAAATTTTCATTTTTGCAGAATAAATTTTTCATTTTTGCAGAATAAATTTTTCATTTTTGCTGTGTATCATTTTCATGTAAAATTTTCATTTTTGCTGTATAATCTTTTAGTTTAATCTGTCTTATTTTAATCTCCAATATAAGAGTAAAACACATTAAATGATATTTTTATTTTTAGATTAAAATGATTCAAGAAATGTTGCGATTAAAGAAAGAAGCTGAGGAAGAAGCTAAAAGAGAAGAAGAAGAGTTTGAGAGAAAGGAAGAAGAGAGGTTACGTCTTTTAGAGGAAGAGGTAAAATTACTTTTACATTGTCACTATATTTTTATGACGACCGTGCATTGAAAATGTCTGATTCAACCTTTTCAACTTATCTTGGAAAAAGATTGAGAAATAAGTAACACTGTAACCTGGATATCATTTAATCTTGTGTATTTAGCACTAATTTCTTTTACATTCATTCAATATCAAATCTTTGTTTAAAAATTAGTAAAAATTGTTTAAAATCACCCAAAATCATCTAATTTGTACTTGTGTCCAGTTTAAAGCTGACCATTCAATTTTGATAATGAGTGTCCAATTTACAAGCTTTTAATTTCTCGATCTCTGTTAAAAAATAAACAACCCAATTGATTATTGATCTATAATGATTAATTTTTGAACTGTGGACAGGAAATTAAATACTTGTAAATTGGACATTCATTATCAAAAATGAATGGTCAGTTTTTTCGACATGATCCCCATTGTGCAGTGTACACTACAAATTAAGGAGCCTACATAGTTGGAATTCGATGTAAGAGTAGACCTTCGCGCTAGTGCCGCAGTCCAAGCAAAATTTCCGCATAGCACACTGTATGGTGTATGCCCGTCTTCATTAGCCCAGTTTGAGCAGAACAGTAGGACGTTAAATCCCATTTTACTAAGACAATAAAACCTATACTGTCACACATAAAAGATTACGTACTATGTCGTTTTTTTCAAGTTTTGTGGCATTAGGCTTCTTGGTGAAACCCCTCTAGTTTGGGAGACAATTCCAAATCTTTAGGACCACACGTAAACCCGATTTTATTTGATTTCTATTCAGAAAGCTAAAAAGGATGAAGAGAGACGAATAAGGAAGGAAGCGGAGAAAGCAAGAAAAGAACAGTTGAAGGCAGAAGGCAAATTTTTAAGCAAGAAACAGGAAGAAGATCAAAGAAAATTACAGCAGATGTTGGAAGCCTTGAAACTACAAGGTGGGTCAATTATCATAGGCCAAGGAAAACTGCACCCTAGACAATTACACCTCCTCCACCCACCTAGACAATTGCATCTCCCCGACCCACCTAGACAATTACACCTCCCCCTCCCACCTAGACAATTACACCCCCACCCACCTAGACAATTACACCTCCTCCCCCCACCTATACAATTACATCCCCACCCTCCTGGACAATTACACCCCCACCCACCTAGACAATTACACCCCCTCCACCCACCTACACAATTACATCCCCACCCACCTAGACAATTACACCCCCACCCACCTCGACAGTTACACCTCCCCAACCCACCTAGACAATTACATCCCCACCATTACCCAACCCAACACTGCAGAATTGAAAATTACATACGATCTCAATATTTGTGGTATATTGACAGCCAGTAACAACAAATTGTACAAACAAGAATGCTTAAAATTGACATTTGGTTAGCATGTGCGCGCGCTGTATCTTGAGGTCTGTCATTGAGTCAACTGGCGTGGTTTCGATTCCTCGGTTGTACCTGACAAGGAGTAGTGTCGCCTGTCTGACCTCGTGGGTTTTCTCCAGGTCCTCAGGTTTCCTCCAACTGCTAAAGACCCCTACGCGCAAGTGAATTATTGAAATAAAATTGAACCATGCGTTAGCCCAGAAATGACCTAGTTTGTGTCGAGTGGACGTTAAACCCAATTTCTCTCTCTCTTAAAATTGATGTCACAGATTGTGGTTGTTTTCTTCAGATTCAAATCTTTTGATAGGAATTTTGAAGCAAATCGTTGATGTATAAATTAGTTTGAATTTATACAGGTCACAATTCTATGGAATACAATTACTGCTTATTACTGAGCGATGTTTCCACTACAGTAAACCTAACATAAGTCGGATTCGTATAAGTTGGATCTTCACGCAACTCGGTTAAAATCGTTTGAACGCGTTAATACAGCACGTTTTTGTCCCCCGCCTTTCGAAGAAAGCAGGGGACTATTAAAATGGGTTCGTCTGTCTGTCTGTCTGTCTGTCTGTCTGTCTGTCTGTCCGTCTGTCTGTCCGTCACACTTTTTGGGACACAATAACTCTCTTCCTAATTGAGCTAGAATGTTCAAACTTGGTGTATGTGTTTATTAGGTCAATGCCTTGATGGAGTTCGAAGATGAGCATTTTCCGTTTAGGGTAAGCAGAGATAAGCAATTTGATTGGTTGATGCTTTGGGACACGATAACTCTCTTCCTAATTGGGCTAGAATGTTCAAACTTGGTGTATGTGTTGATTAGGTCAATGCCTTGATGGAGTTCGAAGATGAGCATTTTCCGCTTAGGGTAAGCAGAGATAAGCAATTTGATTGGTTGATGCTTTGGGACACGATAACTTTTAATTGAGCTAGAATG